GGGGGAAATCACCAAGAGAGGCAAACTTCAATATAATGTGGACAGTGCGTAGGAGGTCGTAAAAAATCAATGAAAAAGATTTTTTAAAAAGAACGGATGAAAAGTGTTCTAAGTGGCTGGAGCAAAAGCTGTCCATGCAAAAAAGCTGTCCATGCAAAACAGACTAAGAGGTGCAGGAAGCTGTAAGCACGGAGCTCCTGAGGGTGAGACAGGGGAGAGGGTACTGAGATGAGGCTGGAGAATGAGCAGAAGCTAGATTATCGAGGGGCTTCTAAACCATGCTGAGACGATGGAACACTTTTTTTGCAATATTTTTTTTTTTTCAGAGAGGAAGGGAGAGGGTGAGAGAGAGACAGAAACATCAATGATGAGAGAAAATTACTGATCAGCTGCCTCCTGCACGCCCCCTACTGGGGATTGAGCTTGCAACCCAGGCATGCGCCCTGATGGGGAATTGAACTGTAATCTCCTGGTTCATAGGTCAATGCTCAACCATTGAGCCATGCTGGCCAGACTAAAGGTGCAACACTATTATCCAATAGGTATTAGGGATCTAGAGGAGGGTTTTTAAATAAGATTTCTGAGCAGGGTAAGGCCTGCTGCTGGGCCCCTGCCACAATTTAGCTAATTTCTTTGGGATCAGGTGGACGTGGAAGCCCTGAACAGCCAGGTAGAAGAGCGGAAGCTTCGCGAGGCCAAAGAGCGAAGCAAGGATGAAGCTCACGGTAAATGCCCAAGGCCAGAGGCCTGCCAAGGAGGAGGATGAAAGGGACTGAGTGGACTCAGTAAAGCAGTTCTGCCTCCAAGTGGGGCCTTGAGGCCTGGGGGTGGTGGGACAAACCGGGTGGGCCTCGGGGACAGGGGCCATGCTGAGTGGGCTCTGTCCTTCCTGTGGGGCCACTTCCATGTCCCTGCCCACCACCCCCAGGTACCGCCCAGGTCCACTATGATATGGTAGCGCAGATGCTAGAAAAGGAAGACGCAGAGCGGACACGTCGCCTGGCCAAAAAAGTCCAAGAGTTCCGCGAGCAGAAACAACAGCTCAAGAATAAGCGTGAATTTAACCTATGGGGTCCAGAACAACTCTGGAAGGGATTTCAAGCCCTTCACGCTAACAGTGATGCCCACTATAACCCATCCAGCCTGCAGTGCTTCTCTGGGGAGGACCCCGCGAGGGCCATGACCGTGAGAACGCAGCAGGAGCAGTTGAGGAACAACCTGGACAAGCAGGTACACGAGCAGCAGCAAGCCAGGGCTGATGAAAGGCGTACCGGTAAGTAGCTGGGCCCTCCAGGCTGAGACCTGAGGCCTGGTAGGGAAAAGTCCAAGTCGGGGACAGCACCCAGGAGACCAGAACTGCAGAGGGGTGGGGGATGGGGAGAAACAGTTCAATTACCCCTAGGGCTGCTGCTGAAAGGTTGATCAGACCCCAAGATCCCTGACTTTCTTCAGTAACTGACAATGTAGACAATGGTCCCCAATCAAACCAATATACTTGTATTGGTTTCAGAAAGGAAGGGAGAAGAGGGAGAGGGAGAGAAACATCAATGATGAGAATCATTGATAGGCTGTCTCCTGCACACCAATCCACTAGGGATCAAGCCCACAACCCTCATGTGCCCTGACTGGGAATCAGATGTGACCTCCTGCTTCATAGGTTGACACTCAACCCCTGAGCCATGCCAGCTGGACAATCCTAGCATTTCATTACCAGGTGGCAGCATAGTTAAGAGAACACAGACCTCCCAGCTCTGCCACTTACTAGCTGGTTTGGGCAAATGAATTTTCCTCTCTGTGCTTCAGCTTCCTCATCTTTAAAATGGGAATGAATCCACTGCACATAGAGCTCATGTGAGAATGCACTGAGATTCTGTGTGCGCAGCACAATTTGCAGCACTGGGTCTGTGTATGGTCTGGTTTAGGATTCACACACAGTTTAGTATCAGTGCATCCAGGGTTGAGGGTTCAGAAGAAGAGAGAACACCAAACTAAGGCATTGTGACTTTATTGTGTAGGCCAGTGGTCGGCAAACTGCGGCTCGCAAGCCACATGTGGCTCTTTAGCCCCTTGAGTTTTTACCAAAGGCCAACTTAGGAGTACCCTAATTAATTTTAAAAATATATATATATTTTTTTAATTTTTTTTTTTACAGAAAGGAAGGGAAAGAGAGAGAAGCATCGATGAGAGAGAAACATCCATCAGCTGCCTCCTGCACACCTCCTACTGGGGATGTGCCCGCAATCAAGATACATACCCTTGACCGGAATCGAACCTGGGACCTTTCAGTCCGAAGGCCGACGCTCTATCCACTGAGCCAAACCAGTTAGGGCATACCCTAATTAGTTTAATAACAATGTACCTACTTATATAGTTTAAGTTTAAAAATTTGGTCTTTCTGGCTAATATGCAACCTATATGTCAAGTATCACCTTCTCCTGGAAGCTATCTTCTCACCCACCATCTAAAGTTCTCATAAGCCCAGCCAGTGTGGCTCAGTGGTTGAGGGTCAACCCATGAACCAAGAGGTCATGTTTGATTCCCAATCAGGACACATGCCTGGGTTGCAGGCTTGATTCCTAGTAGGGGGTGTGTAGGAGGTAGCTGATTGATGATGTTTCTCTCTCATAGATGTTTCCATCTCTCTGTCCCTCTCCCTTCCTCTTTCAAAATCAATTTTAAAAAAACATATTTTTAAAATTTTCATAATGCCCTGTACACATCTCTCCTTGACCTTACCACACTGTGGTATGACGATTTATGTTTGACCCATTTCCCCCACTAGCCATGGCGCACTCTGAGGACGCGATCTAATTCCATGGTGTCCTCAGCACCCAACACATGGCTCTTAGCCTGAGGCTCAGAGAGAGGGAGTGATTCCCACAAGGTCACAGAGCTCAGAAGCAACAGAAGAGCTGGCACTGGGATCCAGGCCCACTGGAGGCATCTTTTAGGCCAGTGGTGGGTAAACTGCGGCTCACGAGCCACCTGCGGCTCTCTGGCCCCTTGAGCGTGGCTCTTCCACAAAATACCACGTGTGGGCGTGCATGCGCAGTGCGATTGAAACTTCATCACCCATGCGCAAAAGTTACTTTTCGGCTCTCAAAAGAAATTTCATTCGTTGTACTGTTGATATTTGGCTCTGTTGACTAATGAGTTTGCCGACCACTGGGTTAGGCACTTGAGAAATCCTTGTTACTGCCACCTTGGCTAGCCTTAGCCTGACAGGGTAGCTCACTCTACATGCCTACAAGTAGGATATTACCCCCACTCCGAAACATGCATACACACACACACACACACACACACACACACACACACCAACCATGCTTATTGAACAAATGGCTGAATGAGCGAACCCAGAACGAAGCCCTGGTCATAGTTCTCTGTGCAGATGAGCTGCGGGAGAAGCTGCGGGTAGCTGTGGAGACTCGGGCCGCCCAGCTGGCCAAGCTGGAGGAATCTTGCCGCATAGCCATGAAGTATGCCGTGGCCAATGCCCACAAAGTCCAGGTATGGCCTGAGCCACCAGGCGCTCTGAGCCCTCCCTAACCCCGCCCCCTTCCCCCCCCCAACAAAGCCCCGGGGAGTCTTAGTCACAGCTTCTCCTCACAATTATTCTCCTGTCAACACCAGCCCTCATCTGAGGGCTTCCCACTTTCCCCAAGGGGACTCCTAGGGCAGAAGATGCCACGCCCCACCTCCAGACTCAGGCTGACTTGAGACAGAACACTGCCCTGCCTTCTCCATCTGCTCAGCCTTCTCCATTCCACCCCTTCCCCCACCTTCGGCCATGCAAGGGCCACGGAATACCTCTGTTCCTTCTCTAAAGTTATTTTTATTTTTTATAAACCAACCTCTGTTCCTTCTACCCCTGAGATGGAGAATAGGGCCATGTCTCCCCTTCCCCTGTGACCGAAAGTTTCCCGAGGTTGGGTACCCAACTGCTCCCATTTGGGGATCCCACCAGGCAGCCGAGGTGGCTGAGCGACGGCTCCAAGAATATCGGCGGGAGCAGGAGGCCAACTTGAAAGAGATCCATCACCAGATCAAGAGTGACCTACTGAATGAGAAAGCCCAGATCCTCACACCAGCTGGGACTGTCCCCACTGCCTCCCGGATCCTGCCCTATGGCGGGAAGGGGAAAGGCGGGATTCCAGAGAAGCAAGCCAGCGTCAAGAAGGCCCAGGCGGCGCAATGCCATGAGAAGGAGATGCAGCGCCGGGCCGAGCAAGCGCGGGATGCCGAATGGGAGAGACAGGCCGTGTGCCTGGCCCAGGCGTCCTTGGAGCTGGAAGAACAGGAGAGGCAGCTCTGCGCCGAGTTCCGGAGGGGGCTGGGCTCCTTCAACCAGCAGCTGGCTTACGACCACAAAGCCCAGTGAGTTCTAGGGAGCGGGGCGGCAGGGATGACTGCCAAGGGGTAGGGAGGCATGGTGAAGGCCAGCAAGGCAGGGAAAGCCTATTGGCTGAGGCCTCCGCACTTCTTTCACAGGCAGAATTACCTGAACTCAATGATCTACAGCAACCAGCCGATGGTCGCGTATCACCTCCGCTTCAACCCCAGCACCCGCTGAGCTCCAGACAGTCCTGGTCCTTGCTTCCTTCCCCCTGCCCCCGTGAAGCCCACAGGAGTTGGCAGTTTGAGGAAAATGCCACCGATCCCCTCCCATTCCCCAGAGGAAGACAGCCGAGCCAGCACCCCCACCTGTGAGCGTAGGTAATAAAGTTATTCACTAAAACCAAGGCCACGTGTGAGAACAGGATCCGAAGGCGTGAGGCGCTGCTCTGCCCACGTCACCCCTGGGATCTGTCCATCCGTCAGTCTTCCCCCCTCACCTTTTCCCCCACGTCCGTTCCCCCAGCACACAGCACTGCCCACTTTCTGTAAGAAATAGGCTTTATTAGGCACAGGAGGTGATCAGTGGGCAGAGTGACCACATGGCTACCGGGCTTCCTCCCAGGCTGGAGCACAGGGCGCCGGGGAGGGGGGGGGGGCCGATGGGTGGAAGAGTGTGTGTCTCGTCTGCCCCCTCCCTTTAAGGCTGCATGCGGATGGCCCCGTCCAGCCGGATGACCTCTCCGTTGATGAACGGGTTCTCGATGATGGACTGGACCAGATGAGCGTACTCAGCGGGGTGGCCCAGGCGGTTGGGGAAGGGCACCTGGCTGGCCAGAAAGTTGCGTACTTTCTCGGGGAGACTGGTCAGCAGCGGGGTGCCAAACAGACCTAGAAAAGACAGTCAGAGGCCCCCCTTTCCTTATCATACTTGTAGCGCCTCCCTGTGCCCGGGGATGGAAGGCTGCGGCTGCTATTCCCCTCTCCATTGCCCATGGATCCCACCCAATCCCAGGTGTGGCAGGGAGGGGAGAGGTTTACCTGGAGCAATGGTGATCACCCGGATGCCCATGGGAGCCAAATCCCGAGCAATGGGCAGTGTCATGCCCACTATGCCCCCCTTGGAAGCAGAGTATGCAGCTTGTCCAACCTGGAGAAAGAGTGGAGGTCATAGGTGGGAGGACCCTCAACACTAAGGTGACCAGACGTCCTGATTTGGCAGGACAGTCCCGATTTTGAACAATCTGTCCCTTTCCAAAAATCGGGACCGTCCCGTCTGGTCACCTTACCCAACAGGTCACGGGGGAAGCACAAGCCTTGCCCCTGCTCACACACCTGGCCCTCGTAGGCAGCCACGCTGGCAGTGTTGATGATGACCCCACGCTGGCCTCCCTGGTCTGGTTCATTCTGGCCCATCTCACCAGCCGCAAGGCGGATCACATTGAAAGTGCCTACGAGATTCACCTGGAGGACCAGTTAGAGCCATGGTTAGAACCCGAGGCAGAGGCAGCCTTTTATCCCCTAAAAGCTTTGGGGGCACCCACAGCCCGGCACATCATCTTCCTACCCCTAGAGACTCGCCAAGGCCTCACATTGATAACTCGTTGGAAGTCCTCCAAGGTATGGGCCTGGTTCCTCTTTGCGTTATAGGTCTTGATGGCCACCGCGATGCCCGCGCAATTGACGGCCACATCCACACGGCCAAACTTTTCTTTCGCTAAAGCCAGAGCTGCTTGCACGTCCTTCTCTGAGGTCACCTTGAGAGGGAGAAGTGGGGGAGGTACTCATCACCCAGCACACACGCTCCCCACCAAACCTATGGGAGGGGACAGCGGAATTATACAAGGGAGAGGCCAGGAGAAAACGGGGCAGAGAAAGCTGAAAATGTCAGTGTTTCAAAATGAGTTTTAAAAAAAATATATTTTTTATTGATTTTTTTACAGAGAGGAAGAGAGAGGGATAGAGAGTTAGAAACATCAATCAGCTGTCTCTTGCACTTCCCCTACTGGGGATGTGCCCGCTACCAAGGTACATGCCCTTGACCAGAATCGAACCTGGGACCTTTCAGCCCGCAGGCTGATGCTCTATCTACTATGCCCTCTTTTGATAATTTCCCATACGAGGGGAGATTCTCAATTGCTGTGGATCAGAGCGCGTTTTTGAGAATTAGCGGTATGAAGGTGATCGCACCAAACTTTACTGTCCGTAGTTTGTTTCATGAAAAGTTTTTCAACTTTGTAAATATAAAAGTACAGGGCACCATGAGTTTTTCAAACTATGCCCCTCCAGGAGAATGTGAAGGGAAAAGGAGATGGGTTGTTCTGGCCAGTGTGGCTCAGTGGGTTGGGTGTGGTAGCGTGCACCAAAAGGTTGACAGTTCGATTCCTGGTCAGGGCACATGCCTGGGTTGCCCACTCAATCCCAGGTAGGAGGCAGCTGATGGATGTTTCACTCTAACATGGATGTTTCTCTGTCTCTCTAAAAATCAATCAAAATGTTGTTTTAAGAAAAGGAGACAGGCCCACCCCTCACGCAGACAGCAGCCTATGGGAGGGAGGGACCCAAGGCTGGTGCCTTGGGTGTGTGTGTGTGTGTGTGTGTGAAGTGACCCCACTTACGTCGGTTGGAGCAAAGGCGCAGCTGCTCCCTAACTTCTTGGCTTGCTCCTCCCCATTCGAGCTGGGTATGTCCAGAAGCACAGCACTGGCCCCCAGTCCCACCAGCCGCTCCGCTGTGGCCAGACCTAGACCCGAGGCTCCTCCGGTTATAACGGCGACCAGGCCCTGTGAAGAGGTAGGGTCAGGGGTTGCGCTGTGCAGACCCTTTCTTCTGCCTGTTCTCCAGGCAAGGGAGGCTCCCGGTCCACCGTGGGGAGTGGCTCAGGGGTGACCCCTCTCCTAACCGATCACAACTCTACGCTTCTCGTCCCCAGAGGGTGCATCCAGGCACCCCACCTACACGTGCTGCAGAGAATTGACCTTCACCTCCCGCCCCGAGCCCCACTGCCGCCACACCGGGCCTAGAATCACGTGACCATTGCTCCCCGCACCGATCTCCTCCCCCAACTGCCACGGCCGCCAAAGTCCCAGCAGGTTCAGCGGGGCAAGCCGCAGGGGCTAGGACCCGGATACCTTCACGCTCCGACACGCCGCCGCAGCCATCTTTCCCACGCTTCTCCCCAACCTGCTGCCGGCGCCCGTCCAATGGCGAAGGGGGCGGGGCCGGCTGTCCGCGCTCCTCCCACGGGCAAGTGGGAGGGGCCTACGGAGAGGGCGGAGCCAGCTGCCCGCGCTCCTCCAATGGCGAAGGGGGCGGGGCGGCGAAGGGGCGGGGTGTCCGGGAGTGTGCTGACTGCTCTGGTCTCCTGCAGAGGGTTAGGACATGGCAAGGTGCCCTCCAAGAGCTGTGCCACCTGGGGAAAGAACCCAAGAGCCGCAGCACAGTGCCACACCCTCCGCCCAAGTCTCTAGCTGGCCGGGGGCAGGCAGCCAGCTCTGTGGGAGGCGGGGAGCGGCAGGAGATTGCGAGTCCCTTACTCCTCAGAAAAATCCTTCATTCAAGTATAGACGTTGCTGAGAGACTCTCTTATGCTAGGCTTTAAGCGGGGATACCCAGAGGAATAATAAAGGGTTCATGCCTTCCAGGAGAGCGCAATTCACTTGGAAAAGAGATACTTACAGTACAAACACAGACAAAGGAATGTAAGAGAACCGGATTCTGGGACACAGACATGAATAGCTGAAGGTGGAGAATCCTGAGAGCCACATGGAGAGGAATATGTTGAAGAGATCGCGGGGAACAGATGCCAGGCCAGATCACAGAGGTAGATAGGGGTGTGGAGAGCCACTAAGAGACAGTAGCTAGAAGAGACATTAGGAGACAGAGCTGCTGAGAAACAAAAGTCCAGAGGGGCATACATAGAGAAGCAAAAACACCTTTCGCCAGTTCAACCTTTGCCGCCGTCCTCTGTATCCAAGGTATTTTGAAGCCCAAAGCCCAGATCACACACTGCAAACTGGATTTCAATCAGACGCTGTCATTTAAGACCCAGCTGAATGCATAAACAAGTGGAACAACTAATCGATATTTCTCTCTCCTCCCCTCTCTCTATAAAATCAATCAATAAATTTAAATTTTTAAAAAGAAATACATGTTATATGTGCTTCTTTATCAATCCATTAAACACCAAGCTCCATCAACAGATTTAGTGGCTGCCATGATTTCAAAATAATGTTTGTTATTTTGAGAGATCTGCAGCAACCAGGATAAGAAAATCTGATTTCTATTGTTGACAAATCCACAGGTACTGCTACACTAGTGGAGCTTGTTACACCCTTAGGACAGAAGGACATGCTGCAGTTCTGTTAATGACAGTGAAAATGAAGATGCCTTCCTCTCCCATCCGAATCCATGGGCTCTTTACATTTTCTCTACAGACTCCAAAGGGGCTGTTGACTCTTGGTTAAGAGCTCCTGTTTAGAGCAAATGGAGACAGTGAGGTCAATGTTTCCTCTCTTGTCACTTCCAACATTCTCTCTAGCCACGCTATCCTCTTCTTGGGTCTCAGAGAAGAGAGATTCCCTTCCCACTGGGCTCTGGGTCCTAGCCCCTCCCATTTCCTTGGAGGTTTGTGCCATTGAGCATGCTTTTTTTATAGAGAGGAAGAGAGAGGGATAGAGAGTTAGAAACATCGATGAGAGAAAAGCATTGATCAGCTGCCTCCTGCACGCCTGCCACTGGGGATGTGCCTGCAACCAAGGTACATGCTCTTGACCAGAATCAAACCTGGGACCATTTCAGTCCGCAGGCTGACGCTCTATCCACTGAGCTAAACTGGTTAGGGTGAGCATGCCCGGTCTTTATTGCTCAAACTTCTGGCTCAAGGTCGTTAGAAAATCAGGAACAGATGAACTCAACGGATATACATCAGTTTGGGTGCATGAGACCCAGAACCAGCAACATCCAGCATTACCTTACAATCCCCAGGGGCTATTGGCCATACCAGGAGATGAGAGAAAAACAAAGGTGGTCTTCACTCCTGGGAGATAAGAACTACAACAAGCCAAGCCTTTAAACTCCTGGGGGGGGGGGGCGGGGAGCTAAAGTTACCCCTGCAAAGACAGAGTTGTACTGGATCTGGCTGGCTCTGAGGTGACTTTGACAACTGTAGAGAGACTCAAATGATGAGTATGCAGAGGACCCAAATGTGTGCTTGTAATTTCCAAGTGAGTTGGGGCACAAGTGTTTAAAAAGTATGTTTTTATTGCTTTTAGAGAGAGGGGAAGAAGGGAGAGTGAGAGAAACATCAATGAGAGAGTAACATTGATTAACCTCTTATATGCACCCTGACCAAGGATTAAGCCCACAATCTGGGCATGTGCCCTGACCAAACCAGCGACCTTTTGGTGCATGGGACAACGCTCAACCACACCGGCCAGGACAGTTGGGGCACAATTTGAATGAATGTTTTAAATTCTGAAGAAGCCCTAACCGGTTTGCCTCAGTGGATAGAGCATTGGCCTGCAGACTGACTGAAGGGTCCCAGGTTCGATTCCGGTCAAGGGCATGTACCTTGGTTGCAGGCACATCCCCAGTAGGGGGTGTGCAGGAGGCAGCTGGTTGATGTTTCTCTTTCATTGATGTTTCTAACACTCTAACCCTCTCCTTTCCTCTCTGTAAAAAAATCAATAAAATATATATATTTTTAAAAATAGATAAACTCTGAAGCAGTGTGCAGGACATGAGAATGACATGCAAGCCTAGCTGAGGACACATGCTAGTTGAATGTCTACCATTTGAATTGATAGGGTTGACATCTGAGTGAGCCTGAGTGAGCCAGCCTACGGTCATGATGACTTTCGCATGGCCCAAATCAGTGGCATTATTCAGCCTCTGTGTAATCAGAACTTTCTAGCTGTGTTTGCCATGGTGGATTACTTCTTCCTCCTAGAAACCCCCCTTGTCTTCCATGATACCTCACTTTCCTGGATCCTCCTACCTCTCTGACTCTTCTTTCTAGGTCGTCTCCCTGGCTTCCTTTCCTTCTGCGCCCTCACCGAGGGGCTCAGTAATCTCCTGGCTTCAATACCGCCTCTCTGCTGAAGACTTCTCCATCTCTACCTCCAGCTCGCCTCTCCGTTAACTTCAGGATGAGATAGCCAATCATTTGCTAGCCCCTCACACCAGCTGGCTCTTCGGCACCTCCAACATATGACTTACCTTAAATTCAATCATTTCGCTGTAAACTTGTTCTATCTCAGTAGCAATACTACCTTTAAAAAAAAATATATATATATATATTTTTTTTTTATTGATTTTGTACAGAGAGGAAGGGAGAGAGACAGAGAATTAGAAACATCGATGAGAGAGGGTCATCTATCAGCTGCCTCCTGCACACCCCCCACTGGGGATATGCCTGCAACCAAGGTACATGCCCTTGACCGGAATCGAACCTGGGACCATTCAGTCCCCAAGCCGACGCTCTATCCACTGAGCCAAACTGGTCTTGGCAGCAATACTACCTTAACAGACACCAAAGCCAGCCCTTGGGGCTAATGCCTTTTTCACTCCATGTAATCAATTGGCAAATCCTGCTGATTCAAGTCCTACCTACTCCTTGAATCTGGCACTTCCTCTCTCCTATCTTCGTATTATCAACACCCCAAATCTCTTGTATTATTGCACCTGGTCAAATCCCACTGCTGTCCCTCTTAAAGGGACCTTCCAAGAAGCCAGTAGAAGTTTCTTTCTAAAACTCGAATGTTATTATGTTACCCTCCTTGCTGTAAACCCTTCCAGTGGTCTCCCCTCACTTTTAGGGCTCCCCATAATCCACAGCTGCTGACTTCAGCCTGTATAACACTGTACTCTCCAGCAACAATGCACAGTAATGCTGCCAGATGATTATTAAATTTTAATTTCATATAAACAACAAATAATTGTGAGCATCAGTATCTCCCATGCAATATTTGGGACATACTATTATGAAAATTGTTTTTTTAATATATTTTATTGATATTTTACAGAGAGGAAGAGAGAGGGAGAGAGAGTTTGAAACATTGATCAGCTGCCTCCTGCACACTCCCCATTGGGTATGTGCCCGCAAACAAGGTACTTGCCCTTGACCGGAATTGAACCTGGGACCCTTGAGCCTGCAGGCCGATGCTCTACCTACTGATCCAAATGGGTTAGGGCATGAAAATTGTTATTAACTAAAAGTACTGGTTATTGAAACCGGTTTGGCTCAATGGATAGAGCGTCGGCCTGCGGACTGAAAGGTCCCAGGTTCGATTCCAATCAAGGGCATGTACCTTGGTTGCGGGCATATCCCCAGTGAGGGGTGTGCAAGAGGCAGCTGATTGATGACTCTCTCTCATCGATGTTTCTAACTCTGTATCTCTTTCCCTTCCTCTCTGTACAAAACCAATAAAATGTATTTTTTTTAAAGTACTGGTTATTTATTTAAATTCATATCTAAGTGGGCATCCTGTGTTTTTTAAAATATATTTTTTATTGATTTTGAGAGAGAGAGAGAGAGAGAGGGAGAAGGAGAGGCGGGGGAGAGAGAAACATCGATTGACTGCTCCCTGCTCTCCTCGGGGGATGGAGCCAGAAACCCAGGCATGTGCCCTGACAGGTAATCCAACAGACAACCTCTCCGTGCATGGGACAATGCTCAGCCCACTGAGCCACCCAGCCAGGTGGTAACCCCACCCCACAGACTTTCCTTAGGACCATGAGATGCCCCCCCACACACACACCTCTATATGTGCACCTTTGAACCAGTACTTCCCTCTGAGAGATCAGGGGTCTGTTCTGATGTCTGTATCCACCGTAGGCATACAGGGCCCCGGGCAGAACAGATGGCAGCGTCTGCTGAGTGAATGCATGCATATGTGTGACATCGCACTAATCCGGAATCGTTGCGTGGAATCAGTCAGTATTGTGATTAGCGTAGTGTCAGCCTTCACAGCCTTGGGAGAATTACCTCCAGGTTTACACATTCACCCAGCAGGAAGGCTAGAAAGCTGGGAGCAGTCTGCAGGCTCAGGGAAGCCATTACCGGGCCAGTTGGGGGTGTCTGCTTGTTTGTGGAGGGAGGGATAGGATGGTATCCTGACAGTATGGAGGTGGAGGAAGGGAGAGGCCGGGAGCCGAGGAGGCTGTGGGGGAGGACCCTGCTCTCCAGCCCAGGGATTAAACTAGCTTCTCTAACCACTCCCTCGGCCCCCAAATCCGGAGGACTAGGGAGAGATTCTGAGAATCCTTCACCTCCCCGCCCACCTGGGTCGAATTAGGAAAGATTTTGAACAGAATACATTGAGGTGGGGAGGGGGGATGAGTCAGCTTCCGTGGGGCGACAGCTGCTAGTGAACACCCCCCTCCCCCCCGCGAGTGCGATCGGGCAGCACCTAGAAGTGGGGGCCAGCGGGGTGGGGGTGGGGGGCTCCCCGGGTGCCAGGCTTTAGAGGCAGTGAATCAACCTTGAGCACGCACCCGCTGGAGGAGAGGCTGTGGGACCTGGGTCACGTCGTGTCGGTCGCCCAGCCTCAGCTTCCTCCACCTCGAAGTGGGACTAATGCGCCTTATGGGAGCGTCAGTGCTGTGGCCTCCACCCTCGGCCACCTGCGCCATGTGAGGCTGCCCCAGGGGCGGGGGTGGGAGGCCCCGGTCTGACATCACTAGGAGCTCCGAGGTGGCTCTGCTCCTCTAGGGGCTTGACGGGACAGACCCCAGTGTCTGGGCGAACGGTCTCGGGCCAGCGCCAGGTTTCTCTTATTCCTGCCACTTCCCGGTGGGGAAGAAAAGGCACCCGGTCTGACACCAAGGCCGGGTGGCGATCGTGTGCAGGCTGCGCCCCCTCTAAGTCTAAGCAAAGGCGCCTGAGGTTCGCTGTGCTCGTCACTCCCTGGTTCATTGTAATAATTAGAGGAACTGCCAGCGGAAACGGAAGGACTCCCGCTAAGACTCCGGCACGGGGCTGCCCTACAGACCCAACTGAGTGTGGGAAGCCCAGACCCAGGGACAAAAAAGGGGGGTGGGGGGCGGGATCCACCCGCATTGCCGGGATGCATAGACTCGGCTTGGCGCCACCACCCACTCACTGCATTTTCCCAGCTGGAAGCGGCGAAGGGCTTGTGCGCATGCGCCCTCCGCCCCCACCGGGGCTGGGGGCTGGGTTGGCCTGTCCTTGGCGAAAATGCCGTCCGCGCATGCGTGACCGGCTCACACTGCTCATTCCCAGGGAGGTCGGAGAGTCCCCTGTAGAGCTGGCGGTGCCATCCGGTCTGCCCCTTAGGGGATGGCTGGAAGAGGATGTGGACAAAGCCGTGTGTGACAGCGACTGGTCACTGACGGCTCTGGTCGCAGAAGGAGGAGGAGAAGTGCAGCCAGGGGAGTAGAAGTAGAGTTGTGGTTGCTCCTTTCAACTGGATCACAGTGTGCGGTCCTTTGGGGAGACTGAAAACCGGAAGACAGAAGGGAGGGGGGGAGGTGTTAGACCCAGAGGAAACCTCTCTCAGTCCCGTCCTCACATCTCCAAGTCCTAGAAGGGACTCAGTATGAGGTCCAGTCCCCCTGGTCAGGTAGCTCAGTTGGGCAGAACCTCGTCCCCACACGTTGTGGGTTTGATCCCTGGTCAGGGCACATATAGGAATCAACCAGTGAAGGCATAAATAAATGGAACAACAAATTGATCTCTCTCTCTTAAAAAAAAAAAAGTGAATAAAAAAGAATTTTTAAAAATGAGGTCTAGTCACCCTCCCCCCCCAGATCATCCCCCTAAAGTAGGGGTGTCGAACTCAATCAGAGAAGGAGCCAAAATCTAAAATCCAGCCTAAATCGCAGGTCGAATGGTTTACTGAACAGTCATAAACTGTCATTGTGATGGAAACGCAGCGGAGTGCAGTGATGACAGCGCGGTTCAGGCCACATTGCAAGGCCTGGCGGGACGGATTTGGCCCGCGGGCCTTGTGTTTGACACATGTGCCCTAAAGGGAGGCTAGGCTTCGACAGTAACCAGCCAGCACCCCACCTCATCTTCCAGCCAGTTGGTTCTATGAGCCCACCCCACACTCCTGGGGGACTCTGAGTCAAAAAGGGGGTCCTGTGGGGTGGGGCTGGGTGGGGTTGAAATACCTGTAACCTGGAAGAACCTCTGCTTCCCTCACGGTGGGGAAGGAAGACCCCATGTGGGCCTGGCAAGTGCTGTGAAGAGTGACTTCAGACCACCTATCAGGGAAGTGAGGCCTGAAGGAGATTGGAAGCTGCCTAGAGTGAGATGGGTTTAAAACTCTGACCACATACAGCAATAAAAATGACAACATGGCCGAAACCGGTTTGGCTCAGTGCATAGAGCATCGACCTGCAGCCTGAAAGGTCCCAGGTTCGATTCCGGTTAAGGGCATGTACTTTGGTTGCGGGCACATCCCCAGTGGGGGCTGTGCAAGAGGCAGCTGATCGATGATTCTCTCTCATCGATGTTTCTAATTCTCTATCCCTCTCTCTTCCTCTCTGTAAAAAAATCAATAAAATATATATTTTTTAAAGATGACAACATGGATGGGCCTAGAGGGTATTATACTAAGTGAAGTAAGTCAGACAGAGAAAGACAAATACCTTATGCTATCACCTACATGTGGAACCTAAAAATGAAACAAACAAAACAAGAATAGACTTACAGAAACAGAGAACAGCCTGGTTGCCCTATGGATGGGTGAAAAAGATGAAGGGAAATAAGAGGTATAGATTTTCAGCTACAAAATAAGTCACAGAGTGCGATGCACAGACAATATACTCATTAATACTGTAATTACTTTGCATGGTGACAGATGGTTACTAGACTTAGTGTGGGGATTACATAGTAAGGTATATAAATGCTGAATCACTGCGTTGTACACTTGAAACTAATATATTATTGTATGCCAGCTGCAGGGGTCACATAATAGAGACTGCAGGCACCTTAAAGCCTAATGCTTCTTAGGAATGAGGATCCTGAGGCCCCATCATGCTATTTACACTGATGTCAGGCTTTGTTGTGAGGATATTTACTGTATTAATCCTCATCACAACCCTATGGTTACAATCATCCTTGGTTTACAAATGAAGAAATTGAGCACTGAAAAGTTTTTTTTAACTCTTTTAAAAAAATTGATTGCTTTTATTTTTTTAAATTTTTTTGAAGCTTCATTTTTTAAATTAAATTATTATCTGTGTACACATACCATTGCCCACCCTCCCATACATGCCCTCCCTCCCCAGAGTTTTGTGTCCATTGGTTGTACTTATATGCATGTATACAAGTCTTTCGGTTGATCTATTATCTCCCCCAGATCTCCCTAACCCCCCTGCTGTAATTTGACAGTCTGCAGCTTTACTGTCTCTATATCTATTTTTTGGTTCATCGGTTTATAATGCTCTTTATTATCCATAAATGAGTGAGGTCATGTGGTGTTTCTCTTTCATTGACTGGCTTATTTCACTCAGCATGATGTTCTCCAATTTCATCCAGGTTGCTACAAATGATAATTCCTTCTTTTTTATGGTACATCTATTCCATTGTGTAGATGTACCATAGTTTTCTGATCCAATCATCTGCTGATGGGCACCTAGGCTGTTTCCAAATCCTAGCTATTGTAAATTGGGCTGCTATGAACATAGGGGTGCACATATCCTTTCTGAATGGTGTTTCTAGTTTCTTGGGATATATTCCTAGGAGTGGGATTACTGGGTCAAATGGGAGCTCCATTTTCAGTTCTTTGAGGTAACTCCACACTGTTCTCCACAGTGGTTGCACCAGTCTGCATTCCCACCAGCAGTGCACGAGGGTTCCTTTTTCTCCGCAACCTTGCCAACACTTGTCGTTTGTTGATTTGTTGATGTTGGCCATTCTGACAGGTGTGAGATGGTACCGTATTGTTGTTTTGAAAAAATTGATTGCTTTTAGATAGAGAGGAAGGCAGGTGGGAAGAAGAGAGAGAAAAACATTGATTTGTTGTTCTATTTATTTATGCATTGATTTAAAAAAAGATATTTTATTGATATTTTTACAGAGAGGAAGGGAGAAGGACAGAGAGTTAGAAACATCGATGAGAGAGAATCATTGATCAGCTGCCTCTTGCACACCTCCTACTGGGGATGTGCCCGCAACCAAGGTACATGCCCTTGACTGGAATCGAACCTGGGACCCTTCAGTCTGCAGGCCGACGCTCTATTCACTGAGCCAAACCGGTTTTGGCTCATTGGTTGATTCTTATATGTGCCATGACTGGAGGGAGATCGAACTTGCAACCTTGGCATATCTGAACAGTGCTCTAACCAACTGAGCTACCCAGCCAAGGGGAGTACTGAAAAGTTAAGCCACTTTCTAAAGTTAAAGAGCAAAGCTAGACTTCAAACTCAGAGATTCTGGCTCCAGAGGCCACACTCTTATGAGCACAAACTCTGCTCCTCTGGGTAAGAGATTAGATAAGAGAGACCCAGTAAAAGGTCAAGATTGGAATTAATTTCCTGAGCACATTATTTCATCTTCTCACACTGTTTTCATCTTCCCCCAGCAACCCTGAGAGGAATGAATTGCTGGATGAATGAGCTTGCCCAAGCTCACACAGACAGTAAAGTAGTTGGATCATGTTTATGAAGCAACTTGACTCAGGTAACTAACTAGTTAACCAAGACAAATCACGAGACTAAAATCTAGGTCTCCTGCCGAAACCGGTTTGGCTCAGTGGACAGAGTGTCAGCCTGCGGACTGAAAGGTCCCAGGTTCGATTCCGGTCAAGGGCATGTACCTTGGCTGCAGTCACGTCTCCAGTAGGGGGTGTGCAAGAGGCAGCTGATCGATGATTCTCTCTCATAGATGTTTCTAACTCTCTATCCCTCTCTCTTCCTCTCTGTAAGAAAATCAATAAAATATATTTTAAAAAATAATAAAATAAAATCTAGGTCTCCTATCTCCTAGTCTTGGGGCATTAAAAAAAAATGCATTTTATTGCTTTTTTACAGAGAGGAAGGGAGAAAGATAGAGAGTCAGAAACATTGACTGGAATCCAACCTGGGACCTTTCAGTCCACAGGCCGACGCTCTATCCACTGAGCCAAACCGGTTAGGGCTTGGGGCATTTTTGGGGGGAAAAAATTTTTTTTTAGTATGTGCATGTAAAAAAAATTATTTATATATATATATATTTCAGAGAGGAAGGGAGAGGGAGAGATGAAACATCAACGTTGAGAGAGAGTCATTGATTGGCTGCCTCCTGCATACTCCCTACTGGGAATCGAGTCCTCAACCCTTGTGCCTTGGTTATGGAACTGAACCATGACCTTCTGGTTCAAAGGTCAATGCTCAACCACTGAGCCTCACCAACCGGGCAAGACTGAGCCCAGTTCCCATTGGTGTGTGTGTGGGGGGAGGGGACTGGGCATTTGAAGGAGGGAGAGGAGCAAGCAGGGGCTCAGTGGTGTCAGGGAAGTGAAAAACTGCAACGGGTTGCCCTGGCTGGTTTGGCTCGGTGGATAAAGTGTCAGGCTGGGGACTGGGGAGTCCCGGGTTCGATTCCAGTCGGAGCACATGCCCGGGTTGCTGGCTCGATCCGATCCCCATTGCGAGGTATGCGGAAGGCAGCTGATCAGTGATTCTCTCTCATCATTGATGTTTCTATCTCTCTCTCTCTCCCTCTCTGCCCCTTCCTCTCTGAAATCAATAAAATTATATATATATTAAAAAAAAAAAACCTCAACGGTTTGCTCAGTGTAAGTGCAGTTAGGTTGGCTGTGTCTGTCCATTATGGAAGTCAGGAGTCTATCCTCCCAGGGAGACTGGGAGATAGAGGCCCGAGGCTTCCTGATGATGGCTGTTCAAGGGGATGGCCCTGGAGAGAGACACCCTGGAGCTGTGGGAGGTACATCTATATCTCAAAGGGATAGGGGAAGAATTTACAGTTATAAGTCCCTTTAGTAAACACTAAGCAAGGGAGGTCAGGGAACTATGTCAGCTGTCAGCTAGAACAAAAGGTAAATTCTTTTTTTAAATATACTTTTATTGATTTCAGAGAGGAAGGGAGAGGGAGAGAGAGTTAGAAACATCAATGATGAGAGAAGCATTGATCGGCTGCCTCCTGCACACCCCCTACTGGGGGTTGAGCCCACAACCTGGGCATGTGCCCTTGACCGGAATCAAACCTGGGATATTTCAGTTCACAGGCCAACCCTCCATCCATTGAGCAAAACTGGCTAGAGCCAAAAGGTAAATTCTTTTGACAGCCCTGAGCTTTTCCAGGTGGGAACTGGGTCATCCCATAGACTGTGCTGATATTGAGATCTGGACAAGGAATTGATCTCTTGGTGAACTGAACATACAAAAGTCTAGAAGGAAAGGAGTACAGAGGGAAGAGCAAGGAGATCTGAGGCAGGACTGGTTTTGTCTTCTGCTAGGGCAGGAGTGAAGGCCAGTGTGGTGGAAAACAGGTAGCAGGGAAAGCAGTGAATGAGAGCGGGCTAGGATAATACAAGTCTGAGGTCTTGGAGGCAGACAGGGGCCAAATCACAAACCCCAGCAGGACATCCCCATACACAAGGTTGTGCAAGTGTTCACTGTGTAGGACACGTTGTGCTGATGTGGTGAGAACGGGGATCTAAAAGTCAACCCCACTGAAACAGGTTTGGCTCAGTGGATAGAGCGTCAGCCTGCGGATTGAAGGGTCCCAGGTTCTATTCTAGTCAAGGGCATGTTACCTTGATTGCGGGCACATCCCCAGTGGGGGGTGTGCAGGAGGCAGCTCATCAATGACTCCCTCTCATCCATGTTTCTAACTCTCTATCCCTCTCCTTTCCTCTCTGTAAAAAATCGATAAAATATATATAAAAATAATTTAAAAACTAAAAAAATAAATAAAAGTCAACCTGGAGCAGCCGTGCTGTGCATCCTGCTGGAGGGCTCTGTGAGCCAGGAGGAGGGAGGGGGCTTTTTTCTATCAAACAGCTAGCTGCACTGGGAGCCAGAGGGCTGCCTCTGCCCAGAAGAGCACCTTTGTTTAAATAGAATGAGGGTGCTAGACGGGCAAGCTGTGGTTTATGTGCCAGGTGCTGAGTTAGTGGTTGCCAGGGTAGCAGATCAGTTGAGATTATTGAAAAAACCTGAGCAGCTGTCTTTAAAAAGAGCACCATGAACAATGCGTGTATGTCCTTCTTACACGGACCAGAGCGGTGATAGGGTGGGCGTGTTTAGCCCCTTCATGGAGAAACTGCAGCGGAAACTGAACAAGCTATGATATGGCCGCTATTCACTGGTGGGTCAGTGATTTCATCCAGATGAATGAGCCCCTCTTCCTCCTCCTGCATCCCCTTTCCTTGCCCCCTTCAGGCTCCTCCTGGGCCTCTCGCCTGTGGCTTTTGTTTCCTTGAACAGAACTCTAAATACGCGCGTGCATACACACACACACTGAGTGGTCAGATGATGATGATCTCTGAATACATAATAATCTGGCCACTGTGTGTGTGTGTGTGTGTGTGTGTGTGTGTGTGTGTGTGTGTTATTTGTTGTTGTTGATTTCAGAGAGGAAGGGAAAGGGAGAGAGAAACATCAGTGATGAGAGAGAATCATTGATTGTCTGCCTCCTGCACACCGCCTACTGGGATCGAGCCCGCAACCCATGCATGTGCCCTGACTTGGTACATATCAATAGATCTAGGCTCAACCACTCAGGCACGGTGGCCAGGCCTGAACTGAACTCTTAATGAGCGTTCATAACTCGGAGCAGTGCATGCAAAAATGTCCTCAGTGACCCCTAGCTGGTTTTGCTCAGTGGATAGGCAGTAGCCTGTGGACTGAAGGGTCCCGGGTTCAATTCTGGTCAAGTTGAAGGCTTGATCCCCAGTGGGGGCATGCATAAGGCAGCCAATTGATGATTCTCTCTCATCATTGATGTTTCTACTCTCCCTCTCCCTTCCTCACTGAAATAAAATATATATATATATAAATTGGAGGCCTGGTGCATGAAATTTGTGTAGGGGGTGTGTGTCCCTCAGCCCAGCCTGCACCCTCTCCAATCTGGGACTCCTCAAAGGATGTCATACTGCTGGTTTACAGGGATTGGGCCTAAGCTGGCAATCTGACATCCCTCTTGCAATCCAGGACTTCTGGCTCCTAACCGCTCACTTGCCTGCCTGCCTGCCTGCTTGCCCCCAAATTCCCCCCCCCCCCGCCAGCCTACTCATCCCAACTGTCCCCCCTGCTGACCTGCTTGTCCCCACCTTCCCTATCCACTGGCCTGCTTGCCCCCAACTGCCCCCCTGCTCATTCCAAACTGGCCCCCCTGCTGTCCTGATAACCTCCAACTGAACCCCCACTGAACCCCCACTGACGGGGTGAGGGGCAGAGGGTTGTTTTTAGGCTGGCCACACCCCCTTCAGGGTGGGGGTCTCCACCGGGGTGCCTGGCCAGCCTTGGTGAGGGGCTGATGGCTGTTTGCAGGCTGGCCAAGCCCCGGAGTGGGGACTCTCACCCCATGGGAGTGTGGCCAGCCTGGGTGAGGATCTGAGGGCTGTCTTCAGGCTGGCCATGTCCCCTGGTGATCCAGGCTCCCAGCCCCTCCTTTTTTTCCTTTTTCTTTTTCTTTTTCTTTTTTTTTTTTTTTTTCAGCGCCTCCTTGAGCGGAGGCCAGGGCAGGCTGGAAGCAGGTATCTGGGATTTATTTATCTTCTATAATTGAAACTTTGTAGCCTTGAGAAGAGGCCAGGGCCAGCCAGGGCAGGCGGGAAGCTTGGCTTCCTCCTCTGCCCTCAACCCAAGCCCCCTGCTGGCTCCAGTTCCGTGGCCATCTCCATCTTTGTTGAGCTAATTTGCATACTCACTCCTTATTGACTGTGGGTGTAGTGGGACTGATGGTCAGTGTGCATGTTTTTCTTTTATTAGTGTAGGTATTTTAAAATGTCCTCAGTGATGTCTCCAAGTTTTTAAAATATGTTTTTATTGATTTCAGAAAGGAAAGGAGAGGGAGAGAGAGAAAGGCACATTGTCTCCTGCACGCCCCACATTGGGGATGGAGCCTGCAATCCGGGCATGTGTCCTGACCAGGAATTGAACTGTGACCTCCTGGTTCAATCTGCTGAGCACACCAGCCAGCCAGACAAGTTTTTTTTTTTTAAATTTATCAAGTTATTGACTTATGCATCTCTATCTTATGAAATGGATTTGAAGCAACTGTCAATTGCAAGATCTATAATTTCCTGCCACTATACCAGCATGGTTAATAGAACTAAGCTAGGGCAAGATGATAAGAATCCCTTTTATTCATTTCACTTTAAAATTTTTTTAAAACTGTAGCTTTATGCTATATATAGTTATGTTATCTTCTTTTCAAGTGTGCAGAAAAGTAGAGGATACTGTAAAACACCCCCAGTTTAATAAAATCATCACATTTTTGTCAGATTTGAGTTTTTCAAAGAAAGCAGAGCACTGACTGGATAGCTCAGTTGGTTATAGTGCTGTCCTAATACACCAAGGTTGAAGATTGGATCCCCAGTCAGGGCACATACAAGAATCAATCAATGGAAAAAAATATATCAATGAGTGCATAAATAAGTGGAACAACAAATCAATATTTCTCTCTCTCTCTCTCTCTCTCTCTCTCTCTCTCTCTCTCTCTCTCTCTCTCAAAATCAATAAGTAAAAAAGTAATTAAAAAGAAAACAAAGCAGCCGGTACTGGTTTGGCTCAGTGGATAGAGCGTCGGCCTGTGGACTGAGGGGTCCCGGGTTCGATTCCAGTCAAGGACATGTGCGTTGGTTGTGGGCACATCCCCAGTGGGGGGTATGCAGGAGGCAGCTGATCGACGTTTCTCTCTCATTGACGTTTCTAACTCTCTGTCCCTCTCAATTCCTCTCTGTGTAAAATCAAAAAATATATTTAATTAAAAAAGAAAAAGAAAAGAAAAAGAAAACAAAGCAGAAACTATACAGTTGAATACCCCTTGGCACCCAATCACCACTGTCCTGAACTTAGAGTTTACCATGTCCATATATGTTTTGTTCTTCAACTTTATATATATGTATCCATCAATTTCATAGTATTTTGTCAACATGATATAGTTTCCTTTTGCACAACTGGCCTGGGTT